AACCTTCCTAATGCCGCGACCCTTTAATACAGTTCCTCATGTTGTGGTGACCCCCAATTTCATTGTTACAGATTGAACATAATTAAGGCATAGTGACTAATCACAAAAACAATATGTAATTATATATGTGTTTTCCGATGGTCTTAGACGACCCTGTGAAAGGGTCATTTGTGGCTCTTCCACATAATACCACGTGCGGGCGCGCACGTACAGGGCGATTGAAACTTCGTGGCCCATGCACAAAAGTCGGTATTTTGTGGAAGAGCCACACTCAAGGGGCCAAAGAGCTGCATGTGGCTCACGAGCCGCAGTTTGCCGACCACTGATCTATACTAATAGTAGAGCCAAGCACAAGGCAACCCCTCACTCTCCATCTTTGTCAATTATTTGAATAGAAAGTGTTATTTGGGGAATATCTCTATAATGTGAAAAACATGCTCCTTCAAGCAAAGAGAACCATAAAAGCAACTGAGTTGAGAACATATCACTTCTAAAGCACCTCTGTTTACACTAGGTCTCTTTTCCAGATTACAACTTCGTGTCCATTGGCCTGGTGATGTTAGGGAAATTCGGGGTCACCTCTGCTTTCTCTATGCTGTACGTCTTCACTGCAGAGCTCTATCCCACCATGGTCAGAAACATGGCTGTGGGCATCACCTCCATGGCCTCCAGAGTGGGCAGCATCATCGCTCCCTACTTCGTGTACCTTGGTGAGACATAGCTTATTGATCTGTTCTTTTTTTTAAATATAAAAGTAATATATTTTCATCGCATAGAGAGTACTGAAAAAAGTACAAGTTTATCTCTTTTTTCTCAGTCCCCTAAATCACACCCCTATAAGTAATTAATATTAACATTTTGGTGAGTAGCCCTTCAGATATTCTGTATCCTATATAATAAAAGACTAATATGCAAATTGACCCTAATGGTAGACTGACTGGGACCCACCGCTTGCTATGACACGCACTGACCACCAGAGGCAGGAGCTGCTCCCTGATGGTCAGTGCGCTTCCACAGGGGGAGCACTGCTCAACCAGAAGCTGGCTCATGGCTGGCCAGCACAACAGTGGTGGCAGGAGCCTCTCCCGCCTCCACAGCAGCGCAAATGATGTCTGACTGATGGCTTAGGCCTGGAGGGCCTAGGCCTGGGGGGCCTAAGCCATCAGTCAGACATCCCCCAAGAGGTCCTGGACTGCAAGAGGGCATAGGCCAGGCTGAGGGGACCCCCCCTCCCAGTGCATGAATTTTCGTGCACTGGGCCTCTAGTATATATATATATAGCTTTACAATTTTTTTAACTTAACATTGTATCAGACTATCTTTATTGGTATACACAGTTCTTTTACCTTCTTTTTCGTTAGTACCTCGTCTTCCAATGTACACATATACACAATTTGTTTAACTAGGTTTAACAGATGGACATTTAAGCCATGTCCAGGTTTTTGTTATTACTGCAATGAACATTTCCCTATGTCCTACACCCTTTATTGGTTTGATTGTGTATATTTGGATTCATGGATTGCTGGAGCAATTTAAAAATTTTACAGATATTGCCAAATTGACATCTAAATATTGTACCCATTTACAATCCAACTATCACTACATGCCTATTTCTCTGCATCCTCACCAGCAATGGAATTATCCAATTGTTTAATCATAGATAATCTTTATGTGAAAAGTGGATATCATTGTTGCTTTCATTTCTTTAATTATTGTGAGGTTGAGCATTTTTAATATATTTATTGACCTTCTATTTATTTTTTAGTGACCTGACTGTTCATGTCTTTTGCCCATCTTTCTAATGTTTTTTTTCAACATTTTATCTTTGATTTGTGAGAGGTCTTTGTAATTGAAAAAAAATAGCCCTTTGTATATATGTTGTAAATATTTTTCCTAGTTTATCATTTACATTTTTACTTTATAATACTTTTTGCAATGCAGAAATTTTAGTTTTTATGTAACCAAATTTCTCAAGCTGAAATAACACCTCAGAGGCACTTTAGTGGGATGTTCAATGGATGCAAGATCTGGTTCTCCAAGCCTAATCCTCATTAAGGACTGTAGTGATGAGAGACACATAGGCCTCAGAACAGTTTCAAGATTAATGTTTTGGGTTGTTGTTTTTTTGTCAAATAAAATTCTTGGGTGTGTTGTTCCTCTATAATCTCTCTATGCAAATGGGAAGCAAAATCAGGATCTGTTATTCTCCTGCGTGACATTGTATAAAGGAAAGATGAAGTGGTTCTTCCAGTTACTTATAAAACCACGACTTATAAATGCTGCCAAAAAAGAAAAAAGAAAAGAAACCAAAGCACTGCTTTCACGGTGCCTAACTTTTTTTTTTTAATTGGATTAAACATATCACTTAGATTTTTTTTTAAATATATTTTATTGAGTTTTTACAGAGAGGAAGGGATAGAGTTAGAAACATCGATGAGAGAGAAACATCAATCAGCTGCCTCCGGCACACCTCCTACTGGGGATGTGCCCGCAACCAAGGTACATGCCCTTGACCGGAATCGAACCCGGGACCCTTCAGTCCGCAGGCCGATGCTCTATCCACTGAGCCAAACTGGCTAGGGCAGATTTTTTTTTTTCAAGTCTCATGACTCTGTATACCTAGCTTTCCACTGCAGCCTACTGGTTTGGGTCAAAGCAAAGGTCACACCGATCATGACATCCGGTACCTGTACCTGCAGCATGCTGGTCAACCTCTTTCCCCTTCATGTCCTCCCATTCCCTCTTCTCCAGTTACCTCCACCTTCAGAGGAGAACTTTGGTAGGCAAATATTTCTACCAAAGGAACATCTGTCACACATGATTATATAGCAGCTTAGAGAATAGCAGTTGACATGAAAGACCTTCTGATAATGCAAAACAAACGGTGCATTTTGCATACTGTTTAACTTCAGAAAATGTTTCAGTTTAAAACTGCTGTCAAGCACTGTTTGCCACCTTTACAAAATGATGCTCAAGAGCTTCTGGAAAATCCCTTTTTCTAACTATGTCCCGTGCCTTACAGGTGCTTACAACAAAGTTCTACCCTACATCCTCATGGGCAGCCTGACCATCCTGATTGGAATCATCACCCTCTTTTTCCCTGAAAGTTTTGGAATGACTCTACCAGAGTCCTTAGAGGAGATGCAGAAAGTGAAATGGTAAGTGGAACTTTAAAAAATGATATAAAAATATCTCAGAAAGAATAAATATGCAAGAATGGCTAGGGAGAGTAGCGCTATCATATAATGAAGTGTATTATTAAGCAGTGGTAGTGAAAACAGTGTGCTAATGGTATAGGAATAGAAATCACTGAATAGAGTTTGAATTAAACCCAAGAAAATATGAGAATTCTGTATATGATAAAAAATAGCAATTCAAAAGCAGTGGGGAAAAGTTAGATTATTAAGTAAAATATATTAGAACATTCAGCTAGCCATTTTGGATAAATAAAAACTTGAGTCCTACTTCAAAACGCATCCATATAAATTCCAGAAAGAGTAAAAGTTGAGGCCTAAAAGTGTAAAATCATAAACATGCCGGAAGAAAAATATTTCTATTACTTTTGAGAAGGCCTTTCTGAGCATAATCTGAAAAGCAAAGAGCCATAAAGGAAAAGATTGATATATCTAATTATGTAATTTTAGAAATCATTGGCACAGCAAAAAAGAAACCATAAACAAAGACAAAGGTCAACAAGGCAGGAGGAAAATATTTGCAACATGCAACACAAACCCAGGCCTGGTATACCTAATATACAAAACGGTCTTGGTGATTCGTAGGGGAAAAGACAAACAACTCAGTAGGAAAACTTAGCAGAAGTCATGAACAAGCAGTTTACAGAAAAGGACATTTCAGTGGCAGATATATATATATATATAATCTTTCTATGATATCACAGATTGGCAAACATTTAAAAGATAAGTGGTTTGGTAGGAGACGTTTAGATTCTAGAACGAGACTGCCTGGCTTCAAATTCCACATCTACTGCAAAAATTTGGGGAAATTTAATTTGGGGTAAACTTAATTTTCACTAAGCTTCGTATAGTAAGGTCATATGAGATAATGTGTTTCAGTGCCTGGCCATAATAAAGATAAGTCTTTGTCATGTGAATGGATTCTGATCTCTGACATAGTAAAAGGTGCATATTTTTGATAAGCTATTTTCTTGTAATGATACAACCAGTTCAATATCAACTTTAACTCACTAGAACTTCATTCTTACCAATCTATCCTTCCCTCAGGGAAATGAAAAGAGTGTAAATTCTTGGTTTTGTTTATGTTTAATTAAGAAAATGACTCCAAGCATTCAAAATAATAAAGTATTAGCTCTAGGTTCTAATTAGAGTTACAATCATTACTTGTTCATTGAAGAAATGTTTTTCAGTGTCGGTTTAGAATTGTGAGGAAGAGAGTTGTGAATATTTAATTTTCTTTAGCACGCATCTTATTTTCAGGTTCAGGTCTGGGAAAAAAACAAGAGATTCAATGAACAACGAAGAAAACCCCAAAGTTTTAATAACTTCATTCTGATAAAAATTTCTACCCCACTCGGTGAACTGGAAAACAGAGACATAAGACCCTGAAGAAACCAAAGCTTTTCCTGATGAAATGGACTGACTGTAACCAGACGGGCCCTGCTGTTGAGAAATGCTCGTCATGTAGCAAATTCTGGACAGCTCTCCCAGATCGTCTCCTTTCTTAAAAGAACTAACCATTTCTATAGAGTCCACCGTTTGTAAGGTTGTTTGAAAATGTGTTGGTTACGGACTAGTCAATACACATAAAGATTAACACTCATTTCCAAACAAGCGACTGCTGCCCAAATAAAGCGTCATTGTATTCACACACTGTCAGGTGACAACAGTGTGTGTGTGTGTGTGTGTGTGTAAGTGAACCAGCACATTCAAAATTACAGTCCTTTCTACAGTGAATTCATATACTGCTATAATCACATGACTATATGCAGCATTCCTAGCCAGAAAATTTTATACACTCCTTTGAGAGGATTAACAGTGTTTGCAAGAGATCAAATAGCCTGGCTCCTATTTTTTTAAGTTATTATTATTATTGTTACTGATTTCAGAGAGGAGGGAAGAGAGGGAGAGAGAGAGAGAGACATCAATGATGAGAGAGAATCATTGATTGGCTGCCTCCTGCATGCCCCCACTGGGGATCGGTCTCACAACCTGTGCTTTGACCAAGAATCAAACCATGACTTCCTGGTTCATAGGTCAATGCTCAACCACTGAGCCACAGCGGCTGGGCGCCTGTCGGCTTTTAAGAAAGGAATCAGAGCAGTTCCCAGCTACAATGCCAGGGGCTACAGCTCACAGACTATTAAAAGATCCACTTTTGTGCTCTCTTTGAGCACATGACTAAACCTTCTATGTCCTAAGACTGGCTTAAGAGATATTTTACTGGTAAACAGAGAATCATGAAAACCGCAAAACAGTTAGATCGGTAGAGATGGTTTGTGTGCCCCACAGCCAAGAGGGGTCAGCACCTAGGAAGAAGGCTGTCCAAGCCAACCATCTAGGAAGCTTTTAAAACTGTTCTTTCCTTCAGTACACCTTCCCAAGCACAGTGTGCAGCTACATCCACTCCACCCAGGGTGCTTCTGATCGGCAATTGAGGAACCTCTGCTCCATGAATGGGCGGCGTGAGAGATAAAAGCTACCATAAGTTCAGAAAGTAAATGTCAGCTCTGTGTGGCACCATGGCTTAGTTGGAGATGATAGCACAGCAAGCAGTTACTCATGGAGACTTGGGCAGCAGCTTTCATTGATAGTGGCTTCTCTAAGGGCAGCATGGCGACAAGCTACTGATGACCCTTTAATACACCCAGGGCCATGGTGTGTGCGTGGAAATAGGCAGCTACTAATTTGTAATATGCTGCTTGGTGGCATCATCCTCAAAATGATTATCCCCAAATGTTAACTTTCACTGTCTAAACATTTTTCTTTTTTAAATGTATCTTTATTGACTTGAGAGAGCAAGAGAAACATCCGTGACGATGATAATGGGCTGCCTCCTGCACAACCCCGACTGGGGATGGAGCCTGCAGCCCCAGGCATGTACACTGACCAGGAATCGAACCGTGACCTCCTAGTTCATACATAGGTTGACCGACGCTCAACCACTGAGCCACACTGGCTGGGCTGTCTGAACATTTTTCAAAGGAAGCTTTGATGTAACATCCTGATACACTTATTGTTTTGAAACCCTTATCTTGAACTTTTCTGATAAGCTCAGAATTTGTTCTCTAGACTGCCATATTCCTAACACATATTTTATATCCTACTGACACACTGCTTCTGCATTTTGACTGTTACCTAAAATCCACTAAGATATCTTAGAATAGCTTATGCTTTGTCTTTGGGGATACAGGTGAGCAGCTTTATCCTGCTTTTATTTCCTTATTGATACAGCCAGTCTGATGGCCATCCCACCTTCCCTGCCGGGTACGAGGCGGCCTGTCCCGCAGAGAGGAGGTCATGCTGACTCCCAAGGAGCTCTCCTTGAGCTTCATTCCCACCAGCAGTGACTGTTCACTCTGCTGTGCTCTCCTGGTACTTGTTACCCTCACTCTGTTGGGTTCTTCCCCACCCCCATATGGCCATTAGCCTCTGGGAGCCAGGGACCTTGCCTGCTTATCTTTTGATAAATATTTATTTTAATTAAAATACTTTATAACTCTAGCTTGGTAAAAAAAAAAAAAACGTTATGTTTGATACATAGATATTTGAATATTTAAACATCTAAATGTAAAATGCTCTTAAAGCTTTTTCTAAATACAAAAAGTAAGGATGTGATAATTACCTTTTATTGCTGTTTGTATGGGTGCTTTATATTTTACTAGAGGCCCAGTGCACTAAATTTGTGCACGGGTAGAGTTCCTAGGCCTGGCCAGCAATCAGGGCCCATCTGTGGGGCAACCGGGGCCCCCACTCGTACCTGCCTTGGTCTGGCACCACCTGCTCACCTGCTCCACCATCCTGCCGCAGTCCCGGACCCATCGGGGCGGGCTGCGCCTCCACTGCCGCCTACTGCCAGCACTGTATCACCAATGCCCGCCATGTTCTGCGCCACCCCCGTGGTCAGCGCACATCTCCCGGTCAGTCAAATTCCTGCCCATGGGGACAATTTGCATATTAGCCTTTTATTATATAGGAAGAGATGACTTTTGAAAATATATATTTTATTGTTGATAGTACTACAGATATCTCCCATTTTCCTCCCCTTTCCCCACCAGAGATGACTTTTAAAAATCTGTTTATAAAAAGACAAGTACTCAATTAGTTATGTCTTTGGTAGTTTAAAGACCAAGGTGATCAATATATGCCAAAATTGTATTTGGTTAAATTCTAGACATATTCTTGATTTATAAAAACTACTTTTAAAGTTAGGTCTATAAAGCAAGTTCCTGCACTTGCTTATGAATATCAACCTCAGATTGACTGACTGAGTACTCTAACATGCAGTATTGCACCGCATGTTAGAGTGAAACACTAGGGGCATGCTATTAACAGGAATTTTATGGATATAGATTTTTAGCAACTCTTGAACATTTTTTAGTAAGTTTTAGTAACTGTAGTCATAGTATAAAATGTAGATAAGAAGTTAAACTGGTAGAAAGTAGACAAAATTGCCAATATTGAGGAGCATATAATGATGTTCTATTTTTTTTACTACTATTGGCTTTTTTTTAAAAAAAAATACATTTTCATTGATTTCAGAGAGGAAGGGAGAGAGCTAGAGAGATAGAAACATCAATGATGAGAGAGAATCATTGATTGGTTGCCTCCTGCATGTCCCCCACTGTGGGGGATGGAGCCCACAACCTGGGCAGGTGCCCTTGGCCAGAACTGAACCTGTGACCCGTTAGTATGCAGGCCGATGCTCTATCCACTGAACCAAACCAGCTAAGGCAGTGTTCTATTTTTTAAAATGCAAGACAGTTAACTAAAACTTCTTACATTTAATAGATTCAGTTTAAGTGGAGGCATATAAAAAGTTTCCATTTTTATGTACTAGAAATAACCAGCTAGGAAATGTGTGTGTGTGTGTTAGGGGGGAAAAGGTTCTGTTCATAATAATCATAAAAATATAAAATACCTAGAAATAACCTTACTAAGAAATATATAAAGCCTAAATGAAGAAATTATTCCATTTTATTAAGATTTGAATAGAGTCATGCCATGATCCTGAATGGGTAGAATGAATGCTCATCTGCTTATAGGGCCCTACTCTCTGTGCCCCCACTCTGTGCTCTTTCTCAGTATCGGCAAAGCTTGCTCTTTTACTTCTTTTATGTCTTTGCTCAAGTGTCACCTGCTTAACTAATCCTTACCTGACCACTCTATTTTAAACTAGAGGCCTGGTGCATGAATTTGTGCACAGGTGGGGTCCCTAGGCCTGGCCGGCGATCAAGGCTGATCAGAGCCAGGCCGATTGGGGCCTGCCGGCCAGGTGGAGGGACAGGGGGAAGGACCATGGGCCTGCCTGATCGGGGCCTGCCGGCTGGGGCCTGCCAGCCAGGGGGAGGGACAGGGCACGGGAGATTGGCTGCCAACCCCGAGGAGGGAGCCGGCCTTTGGCCCCCCAGGAAAGGGATCCACCGCCACCCAACTCCAGTTCTTTATCCCAGCCCGGGCCAAAGATGATGGTCAGGCACAGAAGGAACAGACACCAGCCACCAACGCCACCAGCCGGCAGTGAGAAGTTTGCTGTGGGAACGCACTGACCACCAGGGGGCAGCTCCTGTGTTGAACGTCTGCCCCCTGATGGTCAGTGCACATCATAGCGACTGGATGACTGGTCGTTCTGGTCATTTGGTCCCAACGATTGCTTAGGCTTTAATATAAATAGAAGATTGTATCCCTTTAGCCCTCTGTCCTGACCTTACCCATCCCTGCTTCATTTTTCTCCATAGTTCTTATTACCCTCTGACATCCTAACTATTTACTTCTTCATTTTGTTTATTGTCCTTCTCCTTCCTCATCCAAGTGCTTCCTCACAGTCCATGAAGACCACTTCTGTATCCTCAGGAGTTAGAACCTTGGTTGGCACACAGTAGATGATCAATAAATATTTGTTGAAAAAATGAATCAATGTATTATATTTTCATTATTGTAGTTAAAGGGACCAAAATTAGTTTTCAAACAAGAAAACATTGGTCAATAAACATACAAAAAAGTGTTCTGCTTCACAAGTAACCAGAAACATATTAATTGAAGTGACAATGTGATGCCATTTTTCAACTACTACATTGCAAAGGTTACAAAATGAAAGTATTCAATAAAGATTTTTAAAGTATTTAAAAAATAACAATTTTTAAAAATAATTAATAATAAACAAAATGAAAGTATTTAATATTGATGAGAGTATGATTAAATGCACTCTCATATTCTGATGGGAATGTAAATTATTTTATTTTCTAGAAAACAAATTGGCAAAGTGTTTTCAGAGCCTTAAAATGCCGGAGTTTTTTGAAGTATTAATTCTACAACTGGGAAATCATCAGCGATATAGAAATATTTATGCACATAGATGTTTATCACAGATATAATGCAACCCACATAGTGTAATTTTAAGGTTTCTAGTGGCATCATTAAAAAAAGAAAGTTTTAATAAATAGTGTAATAATTCAAAATATTATTTCAATAATATAAAATTATTAATATCTTTTTTATAAAGACAATGGACAGTCTCACTTAAGGTAAAGATTGACCTTTGTCAAGGAAGCTACAGGCCTGCTTTTAGTTAGGAATTTTTATGTTTAAACCATCCTATGTAGTTCCTTTAGGTCTCTGACTTTTTAAGGCCCACCATCCAGGCCTCCCT